CCGTCTCAAAAAAAAAAAAAAAAAAAACAGAGCTGGAGCAGAAGTGCTATAAGCCTGGGCTCCAGGAGAGCCCGGGGGGCTGTCCTGTGAGGAGAGAACCCAGCACGTCCACCACGGTCCAGCCTGTGTGGCTGCTTTCCTGGACTGCTGCCATCTGTCTGAGACCCTGAGGCGGGAGGCCCGAGAGAATCAGCTGCTTCTGGGAACAAGTGAGTGGGCCGTGGCAGGAGATGCAGGGTGGGAGTTTCGTGGGGGATATAGAGTGACACAGGACAGGCTAAGGGGTGATATGGGCTATGGGGGATTGGAGAAGAGGACTCCACTACGATTCTGGTGGAACACGGAAGGAACATGAAGGAGACTCCGCCTCACACCTGCTCCCTGCAGCAGATGAAGAGGAGGACTTGGATGGTCTCTTTGAGGATGACATGCGTGTACGGACCCTGTTCCCCGAGAGCTGGCTCTGGAGGAAGTTCACTCTGCCAAAGAGTGACTTGGGGTAGGACATTGGCCCCCATGCCAGAATCTGGTCCCAGGTCCTTGCAATCATCAGTGGATGCTGGTCAGGGACAGTGGCCCCAGCAGTGATGTTGAGCCTCAGGACAGTCAACAATGGGGAAAATATCTTAATGGGTTCCCTAAAAAGATGACGACCCTCTAGTGTTGCTGTCACTAATGAGATGACCTGATGATTCTCAATAGTGACCATAACCCCTGCATGGTGACCCCCGACCCAGAGACTCTGTCCATGCAGCACAAACTCAGTGATGTGCCCTCACTCCCAGCAGCATCTCCCACTACCCCATCTCCGTGAACATGCTGGATTCCATCACCACATGGCAGTTTGTGGCGGTCAGCCTCAAGGCTGGTCAAGGTGATCCCCAGCAAGCCCAGTGCTAAGGGAATGTGGGTATGGAGACCCTACCCAGCCCCTCTCCCCAGCCCAGCCCCTGCTTAAACCCAGCGTGCTCTCCTGGCTGTAGGTCCCTGTGTCTCAGACCCCTCTGAGCTGACAGTTATGAAATCCTTCTTTGTGGACCTTAAGTTGCCCCACTCGGTGATCAGGAACGAACAGGTGCAGATCCAAGCCGTGTTGCACAATTTCAGGAATCGTCAGGCCAAGGTGAAGCCCCTGAGCCCTCAACTTCCTGCCAAAATCTCTGCTAGTGTGTATTTTATTTTATGCTTAAATTATTTTTATTTGTTTATTGAGATGGAGTCTTGCTCTGTTGCCCAGGCTGGAATGTAGTGGTGTGATCTCGGCTCACTGCAACCTCCACCTCCAGGGTTCAAGTGATTCTCCTACCTCAGCCTTCCAAGTAGCTGGAACTACAGGCATGCACCACCCCACCATGCCCCGTTAATTTTTGTATTTTTAGTAGAGACAGGGTTTCACCATGTCGGCCAGGTTGGTCTCGAACCCCTGACCTCAAGCAATCTGCCCGCCTCAGCCTCCGAAAGTGCTGGGATTACAGGGTAAGCCACTGTGCCCAGCCTATTTTATTTATTTATTTATTGAGATGGAGTTTTCTCTGTTACCCAGGCTGGAGTGCAGTGGTGTGATCTCAGTTAACTGCAACCTCCATCTCCCGGGTTCAAGCAATTCTCCTACCTCAACCTCCTGAGTAGCTGGGACTACAGGCGCCCGCCGCCACACCTGGCTAATTTTTGTATTTTTAGTAGAGACAGGGTTTTGCCATGTTGGCCAGGCTGATCTCAAACTCCTGACCTCAAGTGATCCACCCACCTCGGCCTCCCAAAGTGCTGGGATTACAGGTGTGAACCACTGCACCTAGCCTATTTTATTTTATTTTTGGAAACAGTCTCACTCTGTTGCCCAGGCTAGAGTGCAGTGGCGCGATCCCAGCTCACCGCAACCTCACCTCACAGGTTCAAGTGATTCTCATGCCTCAGCTTCCCCAGTAGCTGGGGTCACAGATGTGTGCCACCATGCCTGGCTAATTTTTAGTATTTTGAGCAGACAGAATTTTGCTGGTTGCCCAGAGTGGTCTCAAACTCCTGAGCTCAGGCAATCCACCCTCCTTGGCCTCCCAAAGTGTTAGGATTACAGGCGGGAGCCACCATGCCCAGCCTGTTAGTGTGTTTTAGAAAAGGAAATTGGGTGTATTTATTATTCCCATGGGTCAGTGAAGTGGAGGCTGTTTTGGAAAATCTAAGGTAGTCTCTTATTTAGCCAGGCATATTGGCACACACCTGTATTTCAGCTGCTTGAGAGGCTGAGGTAGGGGATGGCTTGAACCAGGAGACTAAGGTTGCAGTGAGCTGTGATTGCACCACTGCACTCCAGCCTGGGTGACAGAGTGAGACCTTGTCTCTACAAAAAGTAATTTTAAGAAGGTTAGTTAGCCAGTCTTGGTGGCATGCACCTGTGGTCCCAGCTACTCAGGAAGCTAAAGCAGGAGAGTCGCTTGAGCCCAGGAGTTCCAGGCTGCACTGAGTCGTATTTGTGCCACTCCACTCCAATCTGGGTGACACAGCAAGACAAAGAAAGAGGAAGGAAGGGAGGAAGGGAGGGAGGGAGGGAGGGAGGAAGGGAGGAAGCAGGGAAGGGAGGAAGGAATTAATTTAAACCTTACAACAACCCCATCAGATGGGTACTATTATTGTTTTTGGTTTACAGATAAGGAAATTGAAGCACAGAGAGGTTAAAGGGCTTGCCTGGAGTCACACAGCACATAAATGGCAGATGGGGCTCTGACTCAGGCTGGGTCTGTGGTCCCCATCACTAGGCTTCACTGTCACTTACTTGGGCATCTCAGGGAAGGGAGGGGACTGTGACACTAGGGTCCTGGACCATGCCATGCATCGATACCCCCTCCCTTTGCCCATCCTGCCCTAGGTCCGAGTGGAGTTCCCCACAAAGAGCCGCTGTGCAGCGTGTCAAAGCCAGGAGCACCATCCTGCCAGGTGGTGGTCATGCCCCCCACCTCCTCCAAGATGGTACCCTTTGTGCTTCTCCCTCTGGAGATAGGCAAAGTGGACATGGAGGTCAAGGCTGTGGGCTATGGGATCCAGGACCACGTGAAGAAGACACTCTTGGTCCGGGTAATGGGCACCCCTAGCTCCCTAGCTGCTGGTGCAGACAGCAGGGCTTCCACCAGGTCCAGGCTGTGTGATCGTGGATGGGGCAGGTGGGCCCAGGATTGATAAACAGGGCTCCTAGATGGGAGTGAGGTGAGAGAGAACAGATCTGAAAGTTCAGTCGGTCAGCCAAGCACGGTGGTTTACACCAGTAATCTCGGTAGTTTGGGAGACTGAGGCGGGTGGATCATCTGAGGTCAGGAGTTTGAGACCAGCCTGGCCAACATGGTGAAACCCCATCTCTACTAAAAATACAAAATTAACTGGGTGTGGAGGTGCACACCTGTAGTCCCAGCTATTCGGGAAGCTGAGGCAGGAGAATCACTTGAACCTGGGAAGTGGAGGATGCAGTGAGCCAAGATGTCACCACTGTACTCCAGCCTGGGTGACAGAGTGAGGCTCCGTCTTAAAAACAAAACAAAACAAAACAAAAAAAAAAAACAAAGAAAAAGAAAAAAGTTTAGTCAGTGGACTGATGCGAGGGGCTCACAAGACCCCACTTCAAAGGAGTCAGGCTTGGGATCAAATCTTGTCTGTGCTTTGTGACCTTGGGCAACTTACTTAACTTCTCTGTTCTGAGCCTCCATTTCTTTGTTTGCAGGATGAGGATAATTATCACACCCACGAATAATCAGAGAGTTGCGAAAATGACCAATAACCAGTGGTGGCTCATGCCTGTAATCCTAGCACTTTGGGGGGCCACGGCGGGTGAATCATGAGATCAGGAGTTCAAGACTAGCCTGGCCAACATGGTGAAACCCTGTCTCTACTAAAAATACAAAAAATTAGCTGCGCATGGTGGTGGGTGCCCATAATCTCAGCTACTTGGGAGGCTGGGGCAGGAGAATCACTTGAACCTAGGAGGCGGAGATTGCAGTGAGCCGAGATCATGCCACTGCACTCCAGCCTGGGTGACAGTGCAGGACTCTGTCTAATTAAAAAAAAAAATTAGTCTGTTGTGGTGGTATGCACCTGTAGTCCCAGTTACTCAAAAAGCCAAAAGGGGATTGCTTGAGCCCATAAAATTGAGCCTGAAGCTGAGATCATGCCATTGCACTCCAGCCTGGGTGACAGAGCAAAAAACAAACAAATGAACAAAAAACTTTATTTACTTTACAGACACATGTTTAACGCTTAAGATATAGGTGCTTAAGAATATTAACTCAGTCATCTGTAGTGGCACCCTCCTGTATTCCCAGCTATTTGGGAGGCTGAAGTGGAAGGATCATTTGAGCATAGAAATTTGAGTCTAGCCTGGACAAACTAGAGAGAATCCTTCTCTGGAAGAAAAAAAAAAAAAAAACATTAACTAAGCCAGCCATGGTGGTTCATGCCTGTAGTCCCAGCACTTTGGGAGGCCAAAGTAGGTGAATCACTTCAGGCCAAGAGTTCAAGATCAGCCTGGCCAACATAGCTTAACCCCATCTCTACTAAAAATACAAAAATTAGCCTGGTGTGGTGGTATGCACCTGTAATCCCAGCTACTCAGGAGGCTGGGGCACAAGAATCACTTGAACCTGTCTCAAAAAAAAATTAACTAATTCAGTCCTCCAAACAACCCTATGAGGTAGGGACAATTATTATCCCCCTTTTACAGATGAGAAAACTGAGGCAGAGAGAGGGTAATTTTCCCAATGACACACAGCTAGGAAGCAGAAGAGCTGGGATTTGAACCCAGGCATTTGGGCTCCAGAGTCTGTGCTTATCATAGTGCAGCAACGCCTCCTCTCACCGTCACTGCGATTGTCATAATTACTGTGGTTGCTGTTTTTACTTTTGACTTATATCCTCCTCTCATCCCTCAGGCAGGAGGTCAGATTCAGCAAATGTCCCGTAGCATCCTCCTGAACCCCTAAGGTTTGTGAGCTCTGCAGGGGACATGTGAGATCCTGGGGCCATGCTGGGATGGAGGAGGGAGTGGGCATGAGGGGGTGTGCCCAGGTGGGAATCCCCAGCCCCACAGCCTACTTGTCACAGAAGGTTATGCTTCTTCAGGTCGGATCCAGACAGAACTGGTGCCAAGACAGGAGTTCTTGAACATGGTACCCGACATGCAGGCAGAAGTGTTTATCAGCGTTCAAGGTGCTGGGGGACACAGGGATGTGGGGAGGGCTGGCGCTGGGTCCTCTAAGGTCCACGAGGCATCAGGGCCAGAGGAACTGGGGGTGGCCATGTGGGGTGATCAGTGAACCGTGGTGGCATAGGCAGAGGCCACTCCCAGGGTCACCCAGCTCACCCACCTGACAGGTGACATCCTTGGTGAGATGATTGTGGGCAGCCTGACACCCGAAGAGTTGCAGCAGCTGCTGCGGGTCCCCAAGGGCTGCCCCGAGCAGACACTGAGCTCCCTGATGCCTGTCGTCATCCTGACCCGCTATTTGGATGCCACCGGCCAGTGGGGCAAGTCGGGGTGGAGCACAGGGACCAGGTGATGAAGAATATTGTCAGCGGTGAGAGCAGGAACCTTCCCAGGGCCTCCATGGGGGTGCCTGGGGCTCTCCTGGAGGGTGGCTGGGGTACCCCCAAGATTGGGGAAATCTTTGTGGGACGACCCCCAGCCTCAGGCACTAACACCCACACTGTGACTCCTCCTCCAGACTACAACTTGATACTAAATTCCCCAAGGTCATCCTGTGACTGTGACTTCCCAGGCTTCAATTTTTTTTTTTTTTTTTTTTTTGTTTTTTTTCTTTTTTTTTTTTTTTTTTTTTTTTTTGCAGTGAAGTCTCACTGTGTCACCTAGGCTGGGGTGCAATGGCGAGATCTCAGCTTACTGCAACCTCCACCTCCCAGGTTCAAGCCATTCTCCTGCCTAAGCCTCCTGAATACCTGGGATTACAGATGCCTGCCACCATGCCCATTAATTTTTGCATTTTAATTAATTAATTTATTTATTTTGAGATACAGTCTCACTCTGTCACCCAGACTGGAGTGCAATGGTGCGATTTCGGCTCTCTTAAACCTCTGCCTCCTGAGTTTGATCGATTCTCCTGCCTTGGCCTCCTGCAGAGCTGGAATTACAGGTGCCAGCCATCACAGCTGGCTCATTTTTGGATTTTTTGTAGAGATGGGGTTTTGCCATCTTGGTTAGGCTGCTCTTGAACTCCTGACCTCAGGTGATCCACCTGCCTTGGCTTCCCAAAGTGCTGGAATTACAGATATGAGCCACTGCACACAGCCTCCAGGCTTCAATCTTGTGACAGACACCCTGATTTTTCCCAAAAAGCCATCCTGCCAGAGGATGTTATACTGGGACCCTGCTCCAGGTTACATTCCCTCCGTTTCATTCCCAGGGAATCTCAGGGAACACCCAGGCAGCAAACCCCAGAATAACCCCAGGGAGTGGCATCTTGGTTGCACCTGGATGCTGACACCTCCCAGGTTACAACCAAACACCCCAGGGAGCAACCAGAGAGGAACACCCCTGGTAACACCCACAGACCTCTGAGCTAATTGGTCCCAGGTTACCCTCAGACTCCAGCTTTTCCTCCAGGTCTTCTCAAGCAGTGACTCCTCAGGGAACATCCAGATACTGTCACCCCGATGCTCCAAACAAACAGTAAACCGCTGGGTGTGGTGGCTCACACCTGTAATCCCAGCACTTTGGGAGGCCGAGGTGGGGAGATCACGAGGTCAGGAGATCAAGACATCCTGCTCGACATGGTGAAATCCCGTCTCTGCTAAAAACACATAAAAAGTTAGCCAGGCGTGGTGGTGTGTGCCTATAATCCCAGCTACTTGGGAGGCTGAGTGAGGCAGGGGAATCGCTTGAACCCGGGAGTCAGAGGTTGCAGTGAGCCGAGATCGCACCACTACACTCCAGCCTGATGATGGAGCAAGACTCCATCTCAAAAACAAAAACAGTAAACCTCCAGGGGAACTTCAGGTAATACCCAAGTAGCAAGGCTGAGAATGCATCTGAAAGGCTGGGCGCAGTGGCTCATACCTATAATCCCAGCATTTTGGGAGGCCAAGGCAGGAGGATCGCTTGAGCCTAGGAGTTTGAGACCAGCCTCGGCAACATAGTGAGACCTCATCTGTACAAAACATTTAAAAATTGGCCAGTTATGGTGGTTGGTGCTGCAGTCTTAGCTACTCAGGAGGCTGAGTGGAAGGATTGCTCAGCCCAGGAGTTTGAGACTAGCTTGGGCAACATAGTGAGACCTCGTCTCTAAAAAGTTAGCATGGTGTGGTGGCCTGCACCTGCAGTCCCAGCTACTTGGGAGGCTGAGGTGGGAGGATAGCTTGATCCAGGAAGGTTGAGGCTGCAGTGAGCTATGATTGTACCACTACACTCCAGCCTGGGTGACAGAATGAGTCCTGGTCTCAAAAAAATAAAAATAAATAAAAAGAGGGCCAGCCATGGTGGCTTATACCTGTAATCCCAGCACTTTGGGAGACTGAGGCAGGTAGATCACCTGAGGTCAGGAGTTTGACACCAGCCTGGTCAACAAAGTGAAACCCTGTCTCTACTAAAAATACAAAAATTAGCCGGGCACGGTGGTGTGCATCTCTAGTCCCAACTACTCAGGAGGCTGAGGCAGGAGAATCTCTTGAACCTGGGAGGCAGAGGTTGCAGTGAGCTGAGATCGCGCCACTGCATTCCAGCCTGGGTGACAGAGCCAGATTCCATCTCAAAAAAATAAAAAATAGAAAATAAAAAAATAAGGAGTACACCGGCAAGGTACTCATCTAAGATTACACCCCAAAGTAACCTCCCCTGGGTGACACCGACATACTGACACCCCAGGTTTACATCCAAGATATAACTCCCAAGAAAACTTCCTGAAGTCCTAGCCATGGTGGTTCACATCTGTAATCCCAGCACTTTGGGAGGTTGAGGCGGGTGGATCACCTGAGGTCAGGAGATGGAGACCTGGTCAATATGGTGAAACCCTGTCTCTACTAAAAATACAAAAAAAAAATTAGCTGGGCGTGGTGGCAGGTGCCTGTAATCCCAGATGCTTGGGAGGCTGAGGCAGGAGAATTGCTTGAATCTGGGAGACGGAAGTTACAGGGAGCCAAGATCACACCACTTCACTCCAGCCTGGGCAACAGAGGAAAACTCTGCCTCAAAAAAAAAAAAAAAAAAAAAAAAACCCTCCAAAAAAAAAAAAAAAAAAAAAAAAAAAATCTGCTTCCCAAGCTGTATATAAGATGGGCAAAAATTTTAAAAATTAAAAAAATTAAAAGGGCCAGGCACAGTGGCTCACGCCTGTAATCCAAGCACTTTGGAGGCCAAGGCAGGCAGATCGCCTGAGGTTGGGAGTTCAAGACCAACCTCACCTGACCAACATAGTGAAACCCCGTCTTTTTCAAAAAAAATTAAAATAAAATAAAGAAAAGGAAAGAAAAGAAAAAGGAAATCTCCCAGGTAGTGCCCCTCCCAGGTTGCATGTAGACAACACCTTCTATGATTTCTTCCAGCAGCAACCCCAAGGCTGGCATGCCCTGCCCCAGAGTCCCCGAGGTGAAGGTTATCTGGGTTATACCCAGAGACAACTGCCTCCTGGGTCCCTCAAAGTCATTCCTGAGCCCTGCCCTTCACTTACGCCTGGGCCCTAAACCCCCCTCCAGAGTACACCTGGACAATAGGTCGCCCCTTCTAGATGACCTCCAGGTGTGACACCCCCATGCCACCTCCAGTCCCTGCCCGCCAGGTTCTACCTGTAACACTGATTGTCCCTCCAAGCCCTGCTCTGTTTCCCCAGGGTACACCCAGCTGCTGACCCACCGGAGTTCAGACGGCACCTACCACACCTCCAAGGGGAACCCAGGAAGCACCTGGTGAGGATGACCCTGTCTCTCCTGCCACTGCCACCCTCGAAGCCCAAGGGGCCAGCCTGGGGCCTGATGTCCCAGGAGCATCCACGCTGCAGAGTATTGGGGTCTTGGGGTGTCCAGTGCATAGGCCTGGGGCATTCTGCACTGGCAGACCTGGGCAGCGGTGAACAGCAGGGTCTACCTGGGAGGGTATGCATGGCCCATGGTGTAGACTCCCCTGTCCCAGAGCCCCCTTGGCTGCCGTTCACAGGTGACACCCTCGCTCTCTCCTGACAGGCTTACAAACTGTGTGTTTCGCGTCTTTGCCCCGGCCTACCCTACGATGATGACCAGTGTGCTTGACCTGCCCTCTCTCTGTGCCATGGCCAACTGGATCATCATCAACAGGCAGGCGGAGGACGGGCACCTCCTGGAGAAGGGACCTGTGGTCATGACATCCATGCAGGTGGTCACAGCCCTCCCTGCCCAGGCCATTCAAACCCATCCGCAGGGCTCTGTGCACTAAGAGGGGGATTTCAGGCTCCCAATCTGTTCTTGGGCAGATGAGAACAGAAAAGAGCCGAGGCTCAGCGCCAAGGATCACACCCGCCCTGGTCTGAACCACTTTGTGCTCTGGTAGAATGTGGGTGAGGCTGGGCACATCTGGGAACCCGTCTCTTCCTCATCCCCACATCAAGCCGTGGCCTGCCCTGGCCCTCCTCCCTTGGAGACTGTGTCCTCCCCAGCTTGCACAGCCAACTCCACCATGAGTCCCTTTACACCAGCATCCAGATAAGTCTTTCAAACGCAGTCTGGCAGGTCTCTCTCTTGCTCAAACACCTGCTGTGGCTCACAGCTACCTTTATCTGTATCTCCTCCTAGGCCTCACCTCACCACTCCCTGCTCACTATGCACACTTAACCATTCATGGGCTCTTCCAACTCTCCCCCAGAAAGGGCTTTTGCTGTCCTCTCTGCATGCATCAGGCCAAATTATTATTGTTATTAATTATTTTGAGAAAGAGTTCCACTCTGTTACCCAGGCTGCAATGCAGTGGCATGATCTTAACTCACTGCAACCTCCAACTCCCGGGTTCAAGTGATTCATATGCCTCGGCCACCCTGAGATTACAGGCATGTACCACTGCACCCAGCTAATTTTTACATTTTTGTTTTAGTAGACATGGGTTTTCACCATGTTGTCCGGGCTGGTCTCAAACTCCTGGCCACAAGTGATCTGCCTGCCTCAGCCTCCCAAAGTTCTGGCATTACAGACATGAGCCACAGTGCCCAGCCTATTATTATTGTTTTTAGAGACAGGATCTTGTTCTGTCACCCAGGCTGGAATGCAGTGGCACAATCATAGCTCACTACAGCATCAAACTTCTGAGCTCAAGAGATCCTCCTGCCTCAGCCACCTCAGTGGTTGGGACTACAGGTGCACACCGCCATTCCTGGCTAATTTTTTTTTTTTTTTTTTTTGAGATGAAGTCTCGCTCTTTTGCCCAGGCTGGAGTGGTGGGATCTCAGCTCACTGCAGCTTCTGCCTCCCAGGTTCAAGCGATTTTCCTGCCTCAGCTTCCTGAGTAGCTGGGACTACAGATGCCCACCACCACACCTGCTAATTTTTGTAGTTTTAGTAGAGACAGGGTTTCTCCATGTGGGCCAGGCTGGTCTCAAACTCCTGACCTCAGGTGATCCACCTACCTCAGCCTCCCAAAGTGCTGTGATTACAGGCATGAGCCATCACCCCTGGCCCTGACATGACCTTCTTATAAGGGCACCTGTCATTAGACAAGGTCTACTCTAATCCAGTATGACCTCGTCTTAATTTTAATCACATCCTCAAAGACCTGATTTCCAAAGAAGATCACATCTTGAGGTCCTGTGTGAACATGAATTTTGGGGGACACTATTCAAGTCTGGACAGGAGGTGAGGGTGGAAGCTGGGGTACTAAAGAGATGTTTGAACCCTGAGTTGGCCATTTCCTAGAAATGGGAAGTCTTTGCCATTCTGACCCTGTTTTCTCATCAGGAAAATGGGGCTGCTGCCAGAATACTCTGAGATGGTGTACAGAGCTGAGCCTCTCGGGTTCATAGCTTTTTGTTTGTTTCTTTGTTTTGTTTTGTTTTTAGAGATGGGGTTTTACCATGTTGGTCGGGTTGGTCTCAAACTCCCGACTTCAGGTGATCCACCCGTCTCGGCCTCCCAAAGTGCTGGGATTACAAGCATGAGTCAGCATGCCCAGCCTTGTTTTGTTTTTGAGACAGAGTTTCGCTCCGTCATCCAGGCTAGAGTGCAGTGGCATGATCTCGGCTCACTGCAACTTCTACCTCCCGGGTTCAAGCAATTCTCCTGCCTCAGCCTCCCCAGCAACTGGGCTTCCAGGCACCCACCATCACGACCAACTAATTTTTATATTTTTATAGGGACAGAGTTTCACCATGTTGGCCAGGCTGGTCTCAAACTCCTGACCTCAGGTGATCCCATTGCTGCGGCCTCCCAAAGTGCTGGGATTGCAGATGTGAGCCACCACGCCTGGCTGATGGCTTTTGTTAGTAGGGCAGACCCCAGGGAGGGAAACCTCTCCTCTCTGTCTTCATCCCACCTCCACCATTATCCAGCCCAGAGCTGGGTACCTGGAAGCTTCTCAGGCTCAGACAGGAGAGGCTGAAGAGGGCATCTCCAAGATGCTGAGGGGATCACATGGGGGACTCTGCATCATCCACAGGGTGGCTACCAAGGCTCCGAGGTGAACATATCCCTCACAGCTCTTGTCTTGATAGCCCTGGATGAGGGAAAGGAGTTGTGCAGCCAGGAGATACCGGTAGGATCCTGGAGAGGAGGGCAGGATCTGTGGGGTCCTCCAGCCCTAGCACCTGGAAAGCTCTTCCACCCTCACATCCCTCTGGGTCCCTCTAATGCCCAGACTTCTTTTCTCTGGTGATCTCCCTCTGGCCTCCTCCCTCTGACCCTCTAGAATTTGATGACCAGCATCGAGCAAGCCCCTGGATTCCTGGAGAGAAAACTCCCCGACAACATTTGCCAGACAACATTTGCCATAGCCACAGTATCCTACGCACTGGCGCTTGCCAACAGCCCCCGGGCCAACGACCACCTGGACAGCTTTGCCAGCCATGGTGGGTGTGGGCCCTTCTTAGTCAACCTCAGTCGTGGAGTGAGGAGGGGGTGATCTTAAACCCAGCAAGGTGTCACTCATCACTTAATGTTTCCTGAGCATCCACTGTGTGTCAACTCTTGAGCTCAGACCCTGTGAGACCAAGGTAAGCAACACTGATAAGGTCCCCGCCCTCAACGATCCTACAGTCCTTGGGAGAGACAATCAGAAGACAGGCAGGTCACTATATAATTCCAAACTGAATCCAGGAGCAGTGGCTAATGTTTGTAATCCCAGAACTTTGGGAAGACGAGGCAGGAGGATCACCTGAGGTCAGGACTTTGAGACCAGCCTGGTCAACATGGTGAAACCCCATCTCTACTAAAAATATAAAAATTAGCCAGGTGTGGTGGCAGTTGCCTGTAATCCCAGCTGTTCGGGAGGCTGAGGCAGGAGAATCACTTGAACCCAAGAGGCAGAGGTTGCCGTGAGCTGAGATTGCACCACTGCACTCCAGCCTGGATGACAGCAGGAGACTCTGTCTCAAAATAATGATGACAATAATAATAATAATAATTCCAAACTGAGACAAGCACTGAGATGATAACACACAACGGGAGGGGAGTACAGATTGGGGGGCCGAGATGAAAGACAGAAAGACATACCTGCTAGGTATGGTGGCTCATGTCTGTAATCCCAGCCACTTGGGAGGCTGAGACAGGAGGATTGCTTGAGGCCAGGAGTTTGTGACCAAACTGAGCAACAGAGTGAGACCCCATCTCTAAACAAAAAAAAAGTTTGTGATTGGCTGGCTGTGGTGGTATACACCTGTAGTCCCAGCTACTAGGGAGGCTGAGGCAGGAGGATCACTTGAGTCCAGAAGGTCAAGGCTGCAGTGAGCTGTGATCACCCCACTGCACTCAAGCCTGGGCAACAGAGCAAGGCTCTGTCTCTATATAAAAATAAAAAAGGCTGGGCATGGTGGCTCATACCTGTAATCCCTGCACTTTGGGAGACCAAGGCCGGTAGCTCACAAGGTCAGGAGTTCGAGACCAGCCTGACCAACATGGTGAAACCCCATCTCTACTAAAAGTATAAAAATTAGCCAGGCATCGTGGTGCACGCCTGTTATCCCAGCTACTCAGGAGGCTGAGGCAGGAGAATCACTTGAACTTGGGAGGTAGAAGTTGCAGTGAGCTGAGATCTCACCACTCTACTCCAGCCTCAGTGACAGAGTGAGACTCTGTCTCAAAAAAACCTTTTTTTTTCCCAAGGTACACCTTCATGAAAGACCATGAACATTCCAAGCAAAAGGAGCAGCACAAGCAAACACCCTGAGGTGGAAAGACTGCTTGGTGTTGTCAAGGATGGAGAATGTTTTTTTCGTTTTGTTTTGTTTTTGATTTTTGTTTTTTTTGAGACAGAATCTCTCGCTCTGTCACCCAGGCTAGAGTGCAATGGCACGATCTCGGCTCACTGCAACCTCCACCTCCTGGGTTCAAGCAATTCTCCTGTCTCAGCCTCCTGAGTAACTGGGACTACAGGCACCCACCACCACATCCAGCTAACTTTTTAATTTTTAGTAGAGATGGGTTTCACCATATTGGCCAGGATGGTCTCAGACTCCTGACTTTATGATCCACCTGCCTCAGCCTCCCAAAGTGCTGAGATTACGGGTGTGAGCCGCTGAGCCCAGCAGGATGGAGAGGTTATAAAACCTTCCCCTGGTTGATTCTACCTCACCCCCAAGATATCCCATCTGCTACATTCCACAAGTCAAGGAAAGTGGAGCTAGGTAAATTTGCTTGCAGTGGGACTGGAGGGACCTAAAGGAACTTTTACTTGTTTTTTTTTTTTTTTTTTTTTGAGACAAAGTCTCACTCTTGTCTCCCAGGCTGGAGTACAATGGCATGATCTTGGCTCACTGCATCCTCCACCTCCCAGGTTCAAGCGATTCTCCTGCCTCAACCTCCCGAGTAGCTGGGATTATAAGTGCTCACCACCACACCCAACTAATTTTTTTGTATTTTTAGTAGAGACCAGGTTTCACCATGTTCGCCAGGCTGGTCTGGAACTCCTGACCTCAGGTGATCCGCCTGCCTCGGCCTCCCAGAGTTCTGGGATTATAAGCATGAGTCACCACGCCCAGCCAGGAACTTGTTTTTTTTAACTCAATTTCCCCATTGGCAAATAGAGTCCCGTCTCCTAGGGTCGTTCTGAAAATTGAATGTCCACATTTCCTCAGCAAAGAGCTTCACATAAAGTAGGTGATCAGGGCTGGGCACGGTGGTTCATGCCTATAATCTCAACACTTTGGGAGGTCAAAGTGAGAGAATGGCTTGAGGCCAGGAGTTCGAAACCAGCCTGGACAACATAATGAGAACCACCCCCACCCCCACCACAAAAATAAAAATAAAGAAGGTGATCAATAAAATGACAGATGAGAAAACTGGGCCAGATGGTACAAGGAGAGAGCAGGTTAAGGTGGGCAGGCCCAGCTCTGGGTGACAAGCCAGGCATCCCTATTTCTAGACAAAACCCATTGGCCAGTGGATGAGCAGAAGCTGGGCCACTGTACACCGTTGAGGCCACAGCCTATGCGCTCATGCAGAAGCTGGAGCTTGGCCGGCACAATGAGACACACCCCATCGCCAAGTGGCTACTAGAGAAGCAGGAGCTTGGAGAAGGCTTCGGGTCCACCCAGGTGATGGGGACCTCCGGGAGGTGAGGGCCGGGGTCGCTAGCCAAGGTGCTGACGCTCCCAGCCCAAGGTGGGAGTTGGGGGGGGGCTGTCCTTGGTCCTGACGCGCCGCCCAATGGCTTCTCGGGTGCTGTCTGTGGTGCTGATCCACATAGCCCCCACCCCCCCCACCCCACCCGCCGCTTCCCCACCCCATTCCAACACCCAGACCACGGTGGTGGCCCTTGAGGCTCTGACTCGCTTCCGCCAAGATGTTCCCTTCGAGAGCGTCCAGGATTTCCGTGTACAGATCAGTGCCCCAAAGAGAGCCTTGAATGTGAATTGGCAGATTGATGGCAACAATGCCTACCAGCAGTGGTCAGCAAAGGTATGGCACTGAGGGGCAGGCCAGAGTCCACGCAGAGGTGGCACTGGAGATGAGGCCAAGCATCATGTCCCTGCCGATCTCCCTCCCAAGATGATATCATAAGCATTGGAAATGTGGCTATACTGTCAATGTATTGATTCATTTATTCCACCAACATTTCCTGAGCATCTGCTATGTACCAATGAATGTCCTAGGCATTGGGGTTATGTTATGAAAGATCCGTTGTCCCTGCTCTTATGGGATTTATGATCTAGAAGGAAATGGGCCTGGCGCTGTGGCTTATGTCTGTGATCCCAGCACTTTGAGAGGCCGAGTTGGGTGGATCACCTGAGGTCAGGAGTTCGAGATCACTCTGGTCAACATAGTGAAACTCCATGTCTACTAAAAATACAAAAATTAACCAGACATGGGCATGCCTGCAATTCCAGCTACTTGAGAGGCTGAGGCAGGAGAATCGCTTGAACCCAGGAGGCAGAGGTTGTAGTGACCTGAGGTCACCTGAGAGTGAGAGTTTGTCTCAAAATATAAATAAATAAATAAATAAATAAATAAAAAGAAATGACACCTTGGGCAACATAGCGAGACCCCATCTCTACGAAAAAAGAAGAGAAGAAGTAAAACAACCAGTCTAAGGTCATGCATTGTTTAGTGGATGTCCTGGACAAATAGTTGTCCAGATGAAGAAAGCAGAGGGAAAGGAAGACTGTTCCTCCTCCTCTTCCCCCTCGTCCTCCTCCCCCCTCCCTTTCTCCCCCTCCCCTTTCCCCTCATCCTCCTCCTCCTTCTCCTTCTTCTTCTTCTTGAGACAGAGTCTCACTCACCTACCCAGGCTGGAGTGCAGTGGCACAATCTTGGCTCACTGCAACCTCCACCCTCCTGGGTTCAAGCAATTCTCCTGTGTCAGCCTCCCCAACAGCTGGGATTACAGGCATGCACCACCATGTCTGGTTACATTTTGCATTTTTAGTAGAGATGGGGTTTCACCATGATGGCCAGGCTGGTCTTGAACTCCTGGCCTCATGTGATCCACCTACCTCGGCTTCCCAAAGTCCTGGGATTACAGGCATGAACCACTGTTCCCGGCCAAGGAAAAGTGTTTCTGACATAGGGAACAGCATAGAGTGGAGACCCAGAGCCAGTCAGGCACAGGAGTAGTCAGAAGGGAGAACAGCAGATAAAGCAGGCTGTCAGGAGGCTAGCATGGCTCAGCAGTAGGGCTGTGAGGCCATGGAAAGAATTAGGACTTGATCCTATAGGCAGTGAGATTTGAGTGACTAGCTGTGATTTTTTTTTTCTTTCTTT